TTCTATGTCTTGACTAAGGAGCTCTGGTAGCACAGTGGCTAAGGCACTTGACTGCTAAGCAGAAGGCTGCGGTTCAAACCCACCAGCCACTCCTCGGAAAGAAGGTTGGGCATTCCTACTTCCGTAGTGATACTGCCTCGGAAACCCAAGGAGGGGTCTCTATGAGTCGGGGCCGACTTGATGGCAAACAACAATAACATGTCTTGACTAAAGTAAAATGTTTAAGGAAAAAAAAAAAGAGTAGAGGCACATACAGAGAAAATAAACAGAAAATTATTTTTTATTTGTAGGTGCACATCACTTATTAAGACTAGAGATCACTGATAAGGAAAACAAGACACTAGAAAAAGAGTGTTGCAAAGGGAAGTTTTTAAGTAAGGTCCATAGATAGGCTTTAGGGGTACCTTGAATTCCTACAATTATATGCAAAAGTTTATGAATGTACAGTTTACAGGAAGAAAAGTTCCAGCTTTCAACAGATTCCCAAGCAATTTATGACCAAAAAGAAAACAGCAATTCCCAACAAACCTTTTAGAAAAATCAATTTTACAAGTTACACTTAAGATGCAGGAGACACCAGAATAGCAATACAAGTTAGAAAACTGTTCAGAAGGATCAAGGAAAAAAAATCTTTCAAATAAACATCAGGATTTGTTCTCTACTGGGGTATAAGAATACAGTAAATAAACTCACTGTCTTCGTGTCTTGGGAAGAAATCCTACCATTTCCATGGCCAGTTGTAAGCGTTCAAAGTCATGCCTCAAATCTTCCCCTTCTACTGTGAAGCAATCCTGCTTTTTTTAAGATAAAAAGAAAAAAAAAAAAAAAAAAGATTCTCTAGTGAAAAATAGCATAGGCCATTTAGAAAGACAGCAACTTTAGATAAATCCACCAATGTACAGTTGTAAATTAGAGCTGATGAAATATTTAGATATAGTAGTCAAAATCAACAGAGCTTTAACTTACTCCAGGCATGTCAAATAAACACATACTTATCAAAATACCAGTAAGTATTTAGTTCACAGTGTCCCTTTCACAGTCTCCAAGGCAAAGACTTCAAGAGTCACTTAAGGGAAAGGACTAGCAATACCTGATTTTGAGTGGCTCTTTAGCATTTTGGAGATTAAAAGCATTTAAGAGGGCAAAATTCCACACTCAAATGTAATTTATTCAACAAATACTTTATAATTAATAAGTGCCTACCATAGCAAGGCACTGAGCTACTTGCTAAGGAAACAAAATATTTAAGACAGTAATTTAATTGAGAATAGGAACTTAGATTTGTGTAATATAAAGAGGTTTACATTACATCTATATTAGATATAATGTAAATAAAACCAAAAACCCAAACCCACTGCCATCAAGTCCATTCTGACTCATCACGACACCCACTGGGTTTCCAAGACTGTAAATCTTTACGGGACTGCCTCATATTCCCCCCGCCTAACAGCTGGTGGGTTCTGAAATGCTGGCCTTCCACTTAGCACCCAAATGCCTTACCCACTACGCCACACAGGTCCTTAAAACATAAATGTTGTTGCTGTTGTTATGTGCCATCGAGTTGGACCCGACTCATAGCGACCCCTCCTTGGGTTTCC